CTTTCTGAGCCATAATTTCTTAGCTTACACACTGGAAATGGCAATATGCCAGGAAACGTGCCTTCTGGATAAAACTTTTACACATACTGCTTCACTTAATCTTTTTAAGTACCATCCATGGATTATGCAAGGCAATATGTGTCAAGGCACTCAGTAAACAGAACAATTTTCTGACCTGTAAGAGTCCATGCCTGTGGAATAAACAGAAGCAAAGTTCCAAGAACTATAAATACTATCCACAGCACGGAAGAAATTCTTGTCATTTTAGGCATAGGAGAAGACTGATAATAACAAAAACAGAACTACAGCATTCTGAATAAAAAGAATCTTCAGTAGTACAACTTAGCTTAGATCAGTATATCAAACTCTACATTAACAAGGCTTTCAACTCAGTTTATGTGAGGGAAGGGGTGTTCTTCTCTATGTAAATAAAGCTGGAAATGCCTTTAGAAGTCAACTAATCAAGTGAATTAAGCCAGACACAGAAAGACAATACTGTATGATCTCACTTATGTGGAATCTAAAACAGGTAAACTCACAGAAACAGAGAGTAGAAAGAATGGTTGCCAGGGACGGGGGAATATTGGTCAAAGGATACAAATTCTCAGCTTTAAGGTAAGTAAGTTCTAGAGATATAGTTACAGCATGGTGACTATAGTTAATAACACTGTACTATTTACTTGAAATTTGATAAGAGCAGATTTTAAGTGTCCCTATGACATAACATACACACACAGGTAACAATGGATGGCAATGGATTTGTTAATTAATTTGTGGTAATCCCTACACAATGTATACATATATTTTATCATCACACTGTACACCTTAAATATGTACAATTTTTGTCAATTAAAAAAAGGGGGAGGCAACTAATCTGCATCTTAACAAAAGTGTAAAGTGATTTCTCCAAGACCACAGGCAGACCTTGAATAAAATGCCAAGTCTCCTAATTGCTGGCAGGTGTTTGCAACACTACAAAAATACTAAAACTTACATTTTTTTCCTTGAATCAGAAGGAACCAGAATCAAGGCCTTGTTCTGCCACCAAAGGTGTGAGTTTTAGTCATTCCTTGTCTGTACTATAGGAATGATAACAACAAAGCTCCCTACTTACCTCTTAGGATGGTTATTAAAAAAATTTTTTTTAAATGTGTGAAACCCTAAAACTCCTAAATAAATGTTAATAGTAGCAATAATGTTTTAATTTTTTTAGCTGTATCAAAATACTCAACAGGGCTGGCCAGTTAGCTCAGTTGGTTAGTGCGTTTGGTACTGATAACACCAAGGTCTAGGGTTTGATCTGCACTGGCCAGCCAAAAGAAAAAAAGAAACCCCAAGAATTTTCAAAAGTTCCATAGATGACAGATTTTCTAATGGTTGAAAACAGGCCAACAAATTGATCGCAGACAGAAGATTCTTTTTTTTTTTTTTTGTCCTTTTTGAGACCGGCCACACCGTGCTCAGCCAGTGAGCACTGTGAGTGCACCGGTCATCCCTATATAGGATCCGAATCCGCAGCGGGAGCGCTACCGCGCTCCCAGCGCCGCACTTTCCCAAGTGCGCCACGGGCTCGGCCCGCAGACAGAAGATTCTTATTCCCTTTGAAACACTTCACCACGTCATCTATGCCTCAAGTACATTTCATTCTCTTAATTCTTCATTTTTCCGATGAAGGAGTGCTTCTGCTCATTTTGATCATCAGTGTTGCTTACATTTTTAACTTACACATCTTTCTAACTGAAATTCAAGCAGGCTTAAGAAAATCTGGGATCACTCCTCCTGCTCAGAAAAGTTCAGTCACTTTCTCAGGCATCCTGAGGGAGAGTACAAAGTATTCACTTCAATAACAATAGTCAGATGGGAGTAAGGAAGCACTTATCAATAAGGAGGAAAAATGTGATCAATCTGAAATATCTATATAAATTCTCGTAAAAAATACAATTTACATTTCTTTTTGAAACAAAGATTAAAATAATTTTATACTAACTTACATAAAAATGGATTCCAAACCTATGTGAACCCAGAAAATCTAAACTGACAAAATAAACAATTTAATAAAAATATTTCAATGCAGTCACAAGAAAGTTTATAAATCTAGAAAAAAGTCTCCATTCAAAAAGTTTCATAAGAACTAAAATAGTTCAAACTATTGGGAAAGATATGTGGTTTACCTGAACAACTTTCATTGACTATGACTGCACCACATGATTTTACACTCCACCTAGCACAGTCATACTTTATTAGGAAGCAATTGCTTTGTATTTTTTTAATCTTTTTTATTATTTATTTTATTTTTTTCTCTGAGAGATAATCTCAAAGAAGGCAATTCCCTACTTTTTGAAAAGTAAGTTCCCTCTGTTCTAACACTTCATTCAACTGACATTTAGGATTTTGGATCAGCCCATCCTTACTTATTTTACCCCTTTTATATTCTTATTTTTATGTTTTCTAAATATACCAAGGGATATTGATCCCTACACATTCTGGGTTATTTCCTCTCATTTAGGCCAACTTGCTAAAAACATATTATCCTAAGTGGTAACTTTTACACCTGGTCACAGAGTTAAATACTAGTAAGATAAGCCATGAGGAAATAATTAGAAGAAAGAAGTTGGTGATGGCTAAATTTACAGCCAGAAAAATTCAACAGAAATTTGATTATACTACTGCTGAAAACTCTTGGTTCAGTTTTATTTGACCTCCAGATATATTTCTTTGATTTCCTGAAAGGTTTATTTATTCCTTGTGAAACACTCACATACATGCTTCATCATTGCAGCCATATTTTCTCTTGTGATTTCTACCAGTTTATACATAAATTTCACTGGACAAAGAACAAATACACTGCACTAAGAAGAATGCTACTTTCTTACCTTACCCTAAAGAAACTGTACAGAATACATATAGTCATTTCCCTATTACATGAAAGAGCATTGTAGAATGTATACTCTGCAATCTTTCAGGACCTCCTGCAAAGTAGAACATATAGTTTTTAAAAACTATAGAACAACTGACAATCTCCTGTACTCTCAAGTTATATTGCTCAGTAAAGCATAAGCTTTTGTATTTTTCCAGATGAAACCTTCAGGTTAAAAAATTCGGTACCTCTGCTTTAAATGTCCTTAATATAAAAGCTGGAGACCTAATTTTTAAACAATAGCAAAGAATTTTTATAAAATAAATAGAGAGTAATATTTACAAAAGTCTAATATTTATAAAAGGTGTTATGGTATAAAAAGAATATTTAAATAGGAGGGCAGATATCTTCTGTTCTAATCCCAGCACTACTGACTGCTAGACGTGGAACCTAAGGTCAGTCACTGAATCTCTGTGGCTCTCTGTTCCTTCGTTAATGTAATGCGAGCTTCCCACAAGGTACCTTTGAAATCTAAATTGTGAGATTCGAAAAAAAAGATGGATTCAAGATAAAGCCAATTTCCTATGAGTTCAACCAGCTACAACTATAGAAAGAAATTACCTAAATTCTTTTATGTGTACTGAGTAGTACAACTGTAGTAACCAATTCAAGTCTAGATACTGTGAGACGGTTGAGGAAAGCAAATTTACCGAATAAACAAACATCTCAACAGAGTACCCAAAGTATTTTCATACCTATGTAAAGGTGGACAATAACATGCCCAAAGAGTGTGATGGAATGATGTAAACTTTCTGTGGTTCAAAAATATTAGGTTAAAGGTTACCTTTTGAAGCTTTCAGAACTGGAGGATATACAAAGAGTTAATCAACTAGCATATTGTTTCCACAAAGATTTTTCTAAAAAAGGATTTACAGACTTTTACAGCCAGAAACAATTAGGGAATACTTGTTTCACTACTTCCTTTAAACCAGAAGAAGGCTATTTATTTAAAATAAAATTGCAATATGAAAGTCTGCTAAAAGCACTTTTTTGTTGTTTGTGCATTTTGTTTGTCACCCAATGTCACACTAACAACTCTGCATCTCATTCCAAAGCACATTATACTGCAAGATAAAATGAAAAAAACCATTTTTTGTTTCCCCAAGGGGGAAGCACTTCTGTTAAAAGCAGCTTTTTATGAGACTACTCTTTCTGAATTACCAATAATGCAAACCAAAGAATTAGATACGTACTCTAAAATTTAATATTTGTTCAATTCTTATTCATATCCTATAGACATCCCATGTGTACAAGGGAAAAGTATGCTAAATGCTTAAACGTACTTAAGAACCTGAAAGATTGAACATTTCTGTCCTTCAATCAGCAGGCTGTCAGGTCATGAGCACCCATTTTGCAATAAAAGTTTTCCTGCCTTTCCTATTATTGTACCTAATCTCAGTTGAGAATAGAATGGTCCACAAAGAAAATGGAAACTTTTCATTTTCATGAACGTGATAATATATAACTTTATTTTTATTAAGGGTAGACAAACTAATTTCAAAAAGTATATGTACAATCAAGAACTAGAAAGGTTTTTTAAAAAACTTAAAAATAGTGAGCTGTTTAAAACTACACTTACAGGCTGGCTGGTTAACTCAGCTGGTTAGAGCACAGTGTTGTAACACCAAGGTCAAGGGTTTGGAACTCCATACCAGCTAGCCACCAAAAAAATAAATAAAATAAAAAAAATAAAACTACACTTACAAGTTTAAATATCAAAATCAGAGGAGCTGTCCGGTTAGCTCAGTCGATTAGAACTCAGTGTTATAACACCAAGGTCAGGGAATTCGGATCCCCCTACCAGCCCCGCAGTAAAGAAGAAAAAAAAAAAAAAATTAAATATCAAGATCAGAGATGAATTAAGAAAAAAAATTAATATGAAAGAAATCCATCATGTTTTACTTTTTAAAATGCTCATGTAATATTTTGCTACGATACAAAACAATTCCATTTTCTCATAAGATCTAAAGTAATCTTTCTTTAAAAAAAAGTAATCTTTCTGAAAGAATTCAATTAGATGTGAGTACCAACTGTTACCCTGTCTCTCTGAACCATTACAAATTGGTAAGAGAAAAAACCTAACCTTGAACGTTTTTCTCCTTCTGATGTCCAACTAGCAAAGGCCAGAAATAGTGAGTTCTGACAGGAAAACCTTCTTCCTTCAAAGCCTTCAATAAAGCTTTTGCCAAATCTGAAAGAGATACCATAAAATATCACAAAGCTACCTCAGCAAAACTGACTTAGGTTGATTTTAAACCTAAGAAGATAGTACCTGTTTTATTGGTTAGCAAAGCACAATGAAGCGTGAACTGCAAAGCCGATGAGTGCATCTGTGCTTCCTTTAGCTTCCTACAGTACTCTGTCAGCTTCTCCACAGGCTAGGGGGAAAAAAGTCATATCAGCTAGACTGGCAAATATCCTCCTATTTGACCTTCTACAAATATTCTACCACTTCGGGGATGAAATATTTAAACCTCTTTCTACCTAAAAATCTTGCAACACAAAATCAAGGTTTTTATAATGTTTACAATTGATCTAATTCGGGTCCAGCCCGTGGCTCACTCGGGAGAGTGTAGTGCTGATAACACCAAGGCCACGGATTCGGATCCCATATAGGGATGGCCGGTTAGCTCACTGGGTGAGCATGATGCTGACAACACCAAGTCAAGGGTTAAGATCCCCTTATGGTCATCTTTTAAAAAAAAACAAAACAAAACAAAAAACAATTGATCTAATTCCATAAATTTTCTTATACTATAAGAATGTTATTTCACTGCCAATTACACTATCTACAAAGTAAAAATGGACAGAATACCGTATTCATAGTCACACAGTGTCGTAAAAAGAAACTGCCAAAGTTACTCAGATTGTCTTCCCTTGATATAGAACATGTTAATAAAATTTGCAATGCTGTATCTTCCAATTTTTCAGTGACTAAAAGCAAAATGAGGTTCATTGCATCTGGAAAGAAAACAAAGACATATTTTGTTACTCAACTGAACAATGTTTTTAAACTGCAATCAATGCTAAAGACAAAATTAGGAATTGCAAACACCGAAAGGATATGTCCGCCTAAATAACAATAAAATACTTCCAAATCAAAACATTTCCCTGTATTCATTCAGTCACATTTTTTAGCTTAGTAAGCTTTTTTTAAAGAGTGCCCCCCCAAAAAAAGAAAAAAAGAGTCCTATGTTCACCTACCACAACTCCTTAAGGTTAGAGAATGCTCTTTCTATCATGTAAAAAGAGCAATTCTGATTTTTATAAAAACCATGTAAATAAATTTTTAAGAATTACCTGGAATACATCTTCTTTCATAAGTAATTTTTTCCAAAATTTCTGAGACATATTGAGGATACCCAGCTTTACTAAATCTAAGGATTACTTGCAATAAATCACTGTCCATAAGGTAAAGATCAGACTTCTCCACCTTCTCCAGAGTCTACAGACGGTTCCAGAAATTAGAAGAACAAGTTAGAAACCAATGTTTATTTAAGTATTAATGCTAACAAATTAAAATACTAAGATTCAAAACATTAGGAACGAATACCGTCTAATTGTTTAGGAATTCTTTTATAAAACAGGAAATATTTTATCTCAATAATAACTGTTACATATCAATACCAAAGTACCAAACTATAATAAGAATTCTTCTGAAATACTACTCTCTACATGAAGACATCTATAAAAACAGGTATAAACTATACTTTTCTGCTACATACAAAACATAACACAAGTTTACACAATTGATTTTAAATTATTTTATTCATATGGCCTAAATCATACCTGCTTAACATGGTCAATGTCACCCTTCTCAGCATATGCATTCAGTAATGCTAGGTATGTGTCTGGACCAGGCTCAATTCCAGCCTCTTTCATCACTGTGAGAATATTTTCTGCTTTCTTCATATCTCTGTGAGTTAATTAAAAAAAATAGATTACTATAATATTGCAAAATATAATATAATTATTCAAACTAAAATATATTACTTATGCCGATTAAGATAAAAATTCAAAGTATCATTTGAAATTATGATGTGAGAAAAGGACAAATAGAATTTAACTGATTATATGTTTCTGAAATGATAAAGATCATAAACATCTGATCCCCCTAAAAAACCAAATTATACAATAATTTAATAAGCATTAAATAAGCATTATACCCTTTTATACTAAGTATGTTATGACTCAGATTTACCTTTTAAAGTAATAACAACGTTTAGTAAATTACCCTTCAAAAATAAAAATATTTTCCAGAGCAGTTAATAAACTTTACAAATTTACTCAGCCCAAATTTTTTTAATTTAATAATTTCAAATAAAATTATTGTGAAACTACTTTAAGAGCAAATTATAGAAATATTAATATAAGGCTGGCCAGTTGGTTAGAGCACGATGCTATAACAAGGTCAAGAGTTCAGATCCCCATACTGGCCAGCCACCAAAAAAAAAAAAATTATTAAAATATTAATATGTTTTACTTCACACACGAACGTTTTTCTTGAAGGGGTAAATAAACATGTTTTAGAAATTTTCTATTATAATTTTCTAAAATTTAAACCTCTTTTAAGAACCAAAAGCTTAGGTTGAACATTACCCAGCTCTTGCATGCCCTGTAACAAGGGCACTGAATACTGCTTCCGTGATGGGAAGGTCCTTAGTTTTCATAAATCCAAGAATCTTGCTGCAGTAAAAGAGAAATAAAGATACTTAAGAGAAATGAAGATAGTCCTTGAAAGTATATGTAAAAAATACTATTAAAAACATGTATAGAATTAGGCCTCAAAAAAAAAAAAGGTAAATAAAATAAATAAATAAATAAAAAGAACTAGGCTTTGAGTTATTTTTATTTTTAAGATATAAGGGTTGGCCAGTTAGCTCAGTTGGTTAGAGCATGGTGCTAATAATAAGAAGATATAAGCGCAAGACACGCTTGTTTTAAAAACTATAAAGTGCAAAAAAAAGAGAAAAAGAAAAAACTGTAAAGTGAAAACTGATCCCCTTCCCACAAAATCCCACTCCCTGAAGTATTAATAGTCTTAAAGTATTCATGTTTAAAATACTAATTTTTTAAAATCTGATTGTTCGGGCTGGCCTGTGGCTCACTCGGGAGAGTGTGGTGCTGATGACACCGAGGCCCCGGGTTCGGATCCCATATAGGGATGGCCGGTTCGCTCACTGGCTGAGCGTGGTGCTGACAACACCAAGCCAAGGGTTAAGATCCCTTTACCGGTCATCTTAAATAAATTGAATGAATGAATGAATGAATAAATAAATAAATGAATGAATGAATGAATGAATGAATAAATAAATAAATAAAATCTGATTGTTCTACACTAATTAACCTTTAAAAAGCATAGTTTAGTAAGATTCATTTAGTTAAAAATGAGATTACAATTTATCCCTTATTTCCCAAATCTTCAATTCAAAAGTAATAAATTTTACATAAGCAGAGACATGTCACAACTGATTTTATATGAATCAATGAAATAAAGAGCATATTTCCAGTTTTAAGAATGAACACAGTTTAAATGGCCAAGAACATTTCCCTGAGGAAACCTTTTTTTAAAAAAAAGTAAAGCCAGCTTATACCCCAACAATTTTATGCCTCTGCTCCAATAAATTAAATTTTTATTTACAATAGGTATTTTTAACTCATCTTTTCCCTCTTACAGAATAATTTACACTTTATCTAAGTCACATTACCAAATTTGCTAGACTAAAGTACTTCTAAAATAATGTGCCTTACTAAGAAGAAACTTTAAAAAAAAGGAGTGATTATATTACAGGTTTTTAAAATTTACAAATTTGTTTGCTTAAACATGCATTTATAGATATCCATACCTGGCACCTTCAATATCTCCTACATTACAATAAGCAGCAATCAACCTCTGGTATGTTACCTGTCAATGAAATGGGTTGGTTAATTTAAAAAAATTTTTTTTCTGGGTTAAAAAAAAAAAATGGATGTGACCAATAAATATCCACATAGCAACTACCCACTCGATTTGGCTGAATGTTTGCTTCCTCCATTTTTGCCAGGAAATCAGTTGGTGAGAATTTATGTTCATTTTGAAGATAGACTTTAAGTAAAGCATTGTAGTGACTCACATCATATACAGTACCTGCAAATGGAATTTAAATCAAATTTTTAGAAAAGCATTTAAAAATCATATCCTTTATCACTACTAAAATCATCTGTACCTAAATTTGACAAACAAAAAAGAGTAAAATGACAACTTTAGCATTTCTCCTATCTATCTTAACACTCAGACCTATCTACTTGGATATCCTGTCAGAAAAGGGCAAGCTAACCATATAAGATGGTAATTACTGTATTACCGTACAGTTACAGTAACTGCCTGTTCAAATATTAAAAGGTCTTTTATTAAAATATTATCATGCATAATATTCTTTCTACTAGAAAATGCTGACAATACTCCTAAATTTAAAAATGACTGATTTTTCTATATAAAGCAGTCTTTACCACATTACAGACACAATGCTACTGATCAAAGTTTTTTTCAACAGCAAGTAAATGATTTTAATAGCCTTCTGTAAGAAACCATTTTCTAAAAAATTACATCTACCATTTTCTAAAATGTGATTATTCTCTTGGATTTTTTTTTTTTAAGTTAGATTTGACTGACTGCCGCAAAAAGTAGAAATGGGCGGCGGGGAAACATGGGTTGAAGCCTTTCACTATAAACTCTATTAAATCTTTTGAATTTTGAACCATGTTAATTTATCTACTGTTTAATGAAGTAAAATTTAATTTAAAAAAGTCAAGTTAAATTTGCCTGACCATTTTCTACAAATTCAACTAATGCTACTTTAGTACCCAACATGTGCAAAACACTGAAAAGTTGATGAGGAAGATCCAAATATGAATAAGATATGAGCCTCATCCTCCAAGAGTAAAGTATAAAAAAGACGTGCACAACTCTAATACAAGGCAATTGATGGTAGCCACAAGGGGCATACGGAAGAGAGATATTAATCTGGACTGGAGGTAAAACTCTAGAATGGAGCAATTTAAAGCATGGCTTCAAAAATGGATTGATTAAAAGAGTGAAAACAGAACATGTCAGAAAAGATTAACAATTTGAACAAAAACAGTTAAGAAGATATATATTATCACGGCATGGCCAAAGAAGTATAGCAGATATAATTCTATTTTTAAGAATATAGAATATGGCCGGCCCGGTGGTGCACTCCGTAGAGTGCGGCGCTTGGGAGTGCGGCGGCGCTCCCGCCGAGGGTTCAGATCCCATATACAGACCGGTCCGCTCACTGGTTGAGCGCGGTGCGGGCGCGACACCGAGGGTTGCGATCCCGTTGCCGGTCGTGGTACGGGCGCGACACCGAGGGCTGTGATCCCATTACCGGTCACGAAAAAAGACAAAAAGGAAAAAAAAAAGAATATAGAATATGTCAACATTGAAATGAGATTCTATTATTTTCAGCATTTCCTCCAGAATCCCCGTCAGTCCAGATAGCACAATTCTAGTCACAGATCTGTCAGTAGCTCATTCTGTAACTTTGGACATGTTACCTAAACTAGAAGATCTATTACAGCTTTACAAGTCTGAAAACAAGAGTCACACTGACAATCTACCAGGTCTCTAGCAGTATTAATTCAACAACTACGTATCAAGTATTGTCATGTAAAAAGCAACATGATACTGGCAAAGAGGAAAACAATGAAGTTATTGATTCCACCCTCATAAAGGGTACAGTACAGGGGAAAGACATATTTGGGAATAGGTATAACAGAAAGTAATACATTGTCTATATTTCTATTGAGGAGGTTTTATTAATGCTGAGCAAGGGCTCTTTTGTATTTCAGAACACTGTACTCCCATAATCTTTTTTGCAAATATGTGTCCCAGTCCACATGTTTTTAATTACATGACTTACTGACATATAAAAATTTCTTATTTTTATAAAGTCAACTCCTAATCTTCATTTTTCTGCTGCTTTTATACTTACAAAATTCTTTTCCATTCTGAATTCTAACAGTTACTTATATTTTTAAAAATTTATAAAAATTGGACTTGTCATCAAAATGAATTCTTTATGAATAAAAACTTAAATAAAAACAGGTAAGGATCTGTCTTTATTCTATATTTTCACATAGGTCACACACAGTTTTTGAAGGATTGTGCTAGATATTTTATATATCTGTGGTTATGCTTAATTGGATCCTTTTATCCCTTTTATTTATTATTTTGTTATTTTATCCCTGAAGTTTATTACTAGAAAAGTTATAGATTCTCAAACATTTAATATGCCCAGGTAATTACTGTAAGCTGACTCTCTGGAATTTTTCAGATAAACAATCACATCACCTAAAAAATAATAATTTCTAGTATTGTTTTACTATAAGAAATACATCTTATTTCATAACATTACACATCACAGTTGTTGGCTTTAAATTTTAACATGTTATAGGATACTTCCATTCTTTGCTAAGATATTCTAAAATAACAAATAAACAATGAACTTTATCTAATGGTCTTTTAAACTACTTTATTTTTCTGAATGTGTACTATGTTTATATGGGTCAAAACTGAAAAAGTGTAGAAAGGTATAGAGTAAAAATTGCATGCAACACCAAGATCAAGGGTTGACATCCGCGTATCAGCCAGCCATCAAAAAGAAAAAAAAAAAAAGGAAAGAAAAATTGTATACAGTGTTTATTATCCTTCCAGAAACATTTTAATATTGTATGCACACACACTTTTCTTCAAAATGGTAGCACAGCACACTATACACTGTTCTCCACCTCAGTTTTTATTTATACTTTGGAGAACGTCCCCCCATCAGTATATGAATAGCTCCTTCATTTTTTTTAACAGATGCACAGTATTCTTTTTTATAGACACTCTTTTTTTATCCAGTCCCCCAGTGAAGGACATTAGAGTTGCTTCCAATTTCCCGCTATTAAAAACAATCTACAATGAAGAGTATCCTTTTGTGCGTGGGAATATATCTGTACCTAATTTCTTTTTTTTTTTTTAAAGATGAACGGTAAGGGGATCTTTTTTTTTTTTTTTTCCTTTTTTGTCTTTTTTCGTGACCAGCAACGGATCATAATCCTCAGTGTCGCGCCCGTACCAGACCGGGACTGGCAACGGGATCGCAACCCTCGGTGTTGCGCCCGCACCTCACTCAGCCAGTGAGCGGCCGGTCTGTATGTGGGATCCGAACCCTCGGCGGGAGCACCGCCGCGCTCCCAAGCGGCGCACTGTAGCAGTGCGCCACCGGGCCGGCCAGTAAGGGGATCTTAACTCTTGACTTGGTGTTGACAGCACCACGCTCACCCAGTGAGCTAATCGGCCATCCCTACATGGGATCCGAACCCGTGGCCTTGGTGTTATCAGCACCGCACTCTCCCAAGTGAGCCACGGGCTGGCCCTATCTGTACCTAATTTCTAACAAATGGAACTACCTGATCAAATGGTATGTACATTTATAACTCTGACACACCAAATGCCTTTCTATTTTGCACTTTTTCATTTACCATCCTTGTAAGAAATACCTGTTATGAAAAACTATTTTATTTTTAATGCCCCTAGATGTCACTGTAACTCATCAAATAAATCATATTACCAAAAACCTCTGAATCATGTAGACTTTCCGTAAAATTTAATTACAGCATTTATGTAAAGAAACAATTTTTTATAAAAAGAAAAAATATCAACACCTCTCATACATATCATTTATTCAAACAATCCATACCCAAGTTCTGAAGTTTATCCCATATCAAATGAGCAAATTCTGTTCTCTCTTCGAGCTTTAGTTCAGGCAAGAGAGATCCACAGCTGCGCAGTAGAAGCAAGGCTTGATTACCACTTGGACTACCTATGAAAAAAAGGTTAATGGATAACATTTAACATACTACCAATATCATAAAGATAAATATCAAAATTTTAAATGGAATCAATAAATACTGAAAAAACTTCTGGCTCAATCACCAAAAATAATGAGAGTGTCTGTAAATTAGAAAAATCCTATCCTAACCCACAATGTTACTAAAAGTTACAAGGTAAATTACTTTTTAAATATTAGTCTGCTTTCTTAGGGACTCTACCATTATGAAATCTATATAATCTGCAAGACTCTATTAAATACAAAAATAAAAAGAACCTAATTTATGAGCAGTCACTTGCTGTAATTCAAAGGCCAAGCTTCTCAACAGCTTATGAAAATTGTACAAAGTAGTATAACTAAAACCCATGAATATCAAACTTAGGTTTATAATCAGTTACAAAATAATATAAACTTTCTTATTCCTATATCCATAACCTTTATCTACCTGTCCCTGAAAGCTGACTTTAAAACAAAACAAAAACAAACCACTTATTGTTGTGATTCCATTTATATGAAATACCCAGAATAGGCAAATCTACAGGGACAGAAAATACACTAGTGGTTCCTAGGGCTCGAAGGAATGGGATGATTTGGGAGCTGATGGCCAGGGTTTTCTTTTTGGGTTGATGAAAATGTTCTAAAATTGATTGTGTTGATGGTTGAACAACTCTGAATAAATCGGAGAGAGAAAATGAGAAAGTAGTCTTTAAAATGCACACAGTTATAGTCATAATTGACACCACTTTGGTATCCCTCCTCATGAGAATCTGTAAGTTACACTTAATGTGGCTGAAATCCATGACTGGGCTTCAAGAAGCTGGTGAATCCTCTTAAACTGCATGCAAAATTATGCATGTTTGTCATGTGGGCTATTTTGGAAGGGGGTGGGTTGTGGTGAAGGACTCACAGCTTCCATCAAAGGCATAAGTGACCCACATAAGTTTCAGTAACTAACTGAAAATGAGAAATAATAATTATCAATCAATCTGGAAATCTGCCATATGTGATCATCCTAGGGAAAGCTGACACTATACAATGGAAGGTATAAACTAACACAGTCATACCTCAGTATCCATGGGGAAGTGGTTCCAGGACTTCCAACAGATAGCGAAATCTGTGGATGCTCAAATCCCTGATATAAAATGATGTAGTATTTGCTTATAACCTATACACATCCTCCTGTATACTTAAATCCTCTCCAGATTGCTTTTAATAAATACCTAATACAATGAAAATTCTATGTAAATAGTTATACTGCATTGTTTAGGGAATAATGACAAGAAAAAAGTCTATACATGTTCAGTACAGACATAATCTTTTTTAAAAATATTTTTGATCCAGGGGTGGTTGATTCCACAAATGAGAAACCCATGGGATATGGAGGGCCAACTATATTCCAAGACAATTTACCACTGACAGTGACTATTTCTATAAGCTACAGAAAGCAAAAAGACAATTTTTATTTGCTGATTTTGAAATAAACATCTAAAACAAAATGTTTATTTACTCCAAACTTTGCCCATGAGTTGGAGAGAGAGAGATCACGATCATAGCATAAAATCATGACGATCATCAGAATATAATAAACAAAATTAAAATTATCAAATAAGGTACTCTACAATGAGGTTGCCCCCAGACTAGTATTTATTAAAAAGCTCAACTTTTGAACAGAAAATTTTGAAATACCTGAGCGGCATGTGCTATCAAAGACTTTTTCTAGAAGCGTCTTTGGAATGCGGCCAGTTCTTCGGACAGAATTATCTAATCTCATTAGAGCCCAATCAAATTGACTGGTATTCTTTCTAGCAGAAGAAGCAGACTCCTCTTGAAGATCATTCTTTTTTTCAGCAGCAATGGTATATAGCCTGGCTTGGCTCAGTAGCCCTCTATAAAATGAAACATAATTAGTAATAAACTAAGTCAATCACTATCTATATAGGTCATCGTTTTAATCAAAATTTAGACAGTTTTTAAAATTGGTTATTAAATACCTAAAATCACAGCGCACTACCAAAAATATTCAGAGATGTATGAACTAGTAGGAAAGTAAGTTTTGACATTTGTTTTAGATAAAATCATATACACACAAACATAAATTGAATGTATGATAAATCTCCTGAATAATTGAGAATGTCTTGATAACATTCAATATGGAATCATTTCAAAGTAAGATGGTAATACAGTTTGTTTCAAGTGGTTTCTTCAATCTCCCTTAACCAAAACCTAATGAAGGAAAAGGAAGCCATTTATGCTACAAATCTCCTCACCTCTATAAATTGAGATGAGATCTAAAACATAACCAAAATTCTGATAACTACCTTCAAATGTTTTCTGGGTATAAGCTTATTACGAATTTAAAAGAAGACAAAAGGAGACCAGTTGTAACAACAAGGTCAAGGGTTCAGATCCCTGTATCAGCCAGCTACCAAAAAAGTTAAAATTAAAAAATAAAAAAATAAAAGAAGAACAAAGTCCAAATCAAAACAATGCAGTTTTTTAAAAAGATCATTCAGGCCAAAATAATTTTCAATCTCTCAAAATAAATTTGAAACATATCACTGTAACAATGTTTCAAGTTCCCAATTCTTATTTGCTTTCTACCTGTCAAAATGCTAGTTACAAACTTTTCTTATTATTTAAAGAACCACAACCATCAAAAATAAAACTAGATTCATTTGAGGAAAGACAGAAGGGAAAGAAAAATTTTTTCAAATTAGGTAAGGTCAGAATAGTACATGTGTGTTTATAAAGAGCAAGCAACCTCTAAACCATTCAATATTTTAATAACAGAGAGTCAAATGCTCTAAAACATGCAATCAGAGATATTCCATGCTGTAGAAATACAGGCTGTACCTGGTTTAGAAATATCAGGCTAAAAAAACTGTCCTTACACACGAAGAAAACTCTATCGTAAATCTTCAAGTTGAATTTAAACATTTTCTCTGCAAATATCGCTTTTAACAGCCAAAGTTCCTAATTCTCAGAGATTTACACATATACTCCAAATATCTTAAACTTTCCAACAGCAGCCACTAAATATATCTAAGTAATATGTACTTAGTATATAACTAAGTATAATGTAAAAATATTCTAATTATTTATCCAGGAAATGCCTTCAGGATTACATTTTTCTGGCCTGTGCACATTTTTATCACAGTTAATTACCAAAGTAAATATTTACAAAATAGTGAGTTTAAAAATAAAACTACTGGGCCGGCCTGTGGCTCACTCGGTAGAGTGCGGTGCTGATAACACCAAGGCCACGGATTCGGATCCCATATAGGGATAGCCGGTTTGCTCACTGGCTGAGCCTGGTGCTGACAACACCAAGTCAAGGGTTGAGATCCCCTTACCGGTCATCTTTTTTAAATAAATAAATAAATAAATAAAATAAAACTACTGTTGGGCCGGCCTGGTGGTGCACTGGAGAGTGCACCGCTTGGGAGCGCGGCGGCGCTCCCGCCGAGGGTTCGGGTCCCATGTGGAGACCGGTTCCCGCTCACTGGCTGAGTGTGGTGCGGACGCAACACCGAGGGTTGTGATCCCGTTGCCGGTCAGGAAAAAAAACAAAAGACAAAAAAAATAAAATAAAACTACTGTTGCTTTCCTATCCTATGTTATTAACCTGGAAAACCGGGCACAAACTGAATGATTATGTATGTGACATTGCAGTAAGGAAAGCTATACCAGAAGTTTCACCACAAGATTATGTAAAACACAGAGACAGTAACTGATACTAGATAACAAATTTTACCACTGTGACCTGTGACAAATCACAACCACTCTAACCATCAATGATTCCACCTTTATGAATAAATAGGATGAAAAACAATGAAAACTTCAGGATACTAAATAAGATTATGCCATCTTTGTAAACCTGATGATCAGCACACTGCAGATGGCTAATTTTTGAAAGAGCTGAATTAATTAATGCTAGATTACCTCCAAACCATAGAACGTACATTCCCATGCATATTTATCCCTTACTTTCAAAAGGCTTCTATGGACATTATATGGTTACAGTATCAGTTGTGACTAAACTATGTCCACTGTCACCCAGAACAATGTGTCAAGTTCAGGCGAGTGTGCAATAATATTGTTCAACAACAAAAGCTGATAAATACAGAAATTTCAAAACTGGAGTGGAGTATCTTTGCCAAAGTTTTTTATAAAACCCAAATCTGATAAACCATTAAAGAGCAAAAAATTAAACTCTGCTAAAATGCAGTTTTAAATTGTAAGATCAAACACAAATGAAATTCAGGCAGAAAACAGAGATACTTATAAACCAGCACGTCATTCTGAATATTCTGAAGCTAATTTTTCTCACAAGTGAGTCTTTAATATAGTCAAGTCTCCTTAAAGTAAGTGTGCTTGGCTTTAATTAAATAGAAATACGAATATACTGTAAAATAAACTGGGGTGAGGGGAGAATTATATATTTAATCAAAGGATTCCTCACTCTTCAAAAGGATTCTCCAGTGCTTTCTACATTAACTATATGGCTGATTCATTCGTTCATTCATCCCTTCATGCATTTATTGGCAGCTGGCCAGTAGGGGATCCACAGAATTTATTTTTAAATTCACTTTGAAGGGAACAAGAACTTCACAGCCCAGAGCAATGGGTGTGTTGTGTCAGAAAGAACAAGTCAAGGGGTTAAGGTGAGTCCATGCATGCTGGAGTACACTGCCTCCCAATCGTAATAACCAAAATTGACGTAACCATGGAAGGGAAAATTCTTTTATCAGTAGATCCTTCACATTTTCGAGTTAAACTTCTCAGGTTCCCTTCAGAGACTCCGACTCTCACCACTAATACTCATATTTAGGTTATCCATGAGTTTCCTCTGGTAAAATCTGGCATTTAAAAAGATATTTTTCTCAGTTTTTAAAAAAAATTATGGTGGTAGTGGTTTTTACTTTTACCCTTTAGTACAAAAAATAACAATTTTATATTTGAGCATCCATATTTCAAAAAAAAGAAGCAAAGACCAGATTATTATAAGCAGGCTTCCACAGGACTCCCATTTTAAGCCTGCAGCATTTTTTAAAATTAATGGACTTTACTTTTTTAGAGCATTTCTAGGTTTACAGAAAAATTATGCAGAAAGTACAACATTCCCATATACTTTATTCCCCCTCCACACACACAATTTCCCTTATTAACATCTATTAGTGTGATATATTTGTTACCAATGATGAACCAATATTGATACATCATTACTAATGTTCATAGTTTACATTAGGGTTCACTCTTGATGTGTACACATCCATAGGTTTTGATAAATTTGACATGTATCTACCATTACAGTACCATAGAGAATAACTTCACTGCCCTAAAAATGTCCTGTGCTCCACCTATTTATCCCTTTCCCCCTCCTGCTGAACATGTAGCAACCACTGATCCTTTTACTTGTCTTTATAATTTTGCCTTTTCCAGAAGTCATATGTTGCCTTATACGGTATGTAACCTTTTCAAGATTGGCTTCTTTCGTCTAGCAATACACATTTAAGGTCCCTCCATGTCTTTTCATGGCATTAAAGCAACTCATTTCTTTTTAGTGAATAGTATGCCTTTGTATGGATGTACACATTTTGTCTATCCAGTCACCTACTGAAGGACATCTTGATTACTTCCAATTTTTGGCAATTATAAATAAAGTTGCTATAAATATTTGTGTGGACATAAATTTTGAACTCATTTGGGTAAATACCTAATGGCAAACCTATGTTTAACTTTGTAAGACACTGCCAAACTAGCTTCCAAAATATTCACTGCTGTACATACCATTTTGCATTCCTACAAGTGATGAATGAGGGTGCCTGTTGCCCACATCCTCACCACCATTTGGTGTTTTGGATTTTAGTCATTCTAACAGGTGAACTATCTCATTGTTGTATTAATTTATAATTCCCTAAAGACATACAATGCTGAGCATCTTTTATATGCTTATTTGTCAGTTATATGTATTCTTTGGTGAGGTATCAGTTCAGATTTTCTGCCCATTTCTTAACTAGGTCGTAAGTTTTCCTATTGTTGAATTTTAAGAGTTCTTCGTATGTTTTAGATAGTCTCAGTGTTTAATTTTTCAAGTAAACTTTTTAATAAAGCATTATTCATTCTGTTTTAACTTCAAATGTACACCAAACTAATCATATATGGTCTTAAAACTCTTCCCTTCCTGTTTTTCTCTTCTTCACTGGTATTACGAGCTAGTTTAGCATCACTTTGGAGCTATCAGAGTTTAAAGAAGAGGAATATAGATACAGAACAGAAGAAGTGTTATTAATAGCTAATGTTTAGTATGTGTTTACTATATGCTAGGTACAAGAAAATTATGACTATAACCCCCTTTTTACTGATGAGAAAACTAAAGCAGCTTGCCCAAAGTCATAGTAAAAGCTAGTTAATGACAGGATGACAGGACCAAGATTTGTACTCAGGCAGTCCCATTCTGAAATGAGCTCAATGTGATGGAAGGGCATCAAGGAAACTAATCTGACTGCAATGGAGGGAGGGGGGTTTCACACTGGAAAGTGGTAAAAATTAAACCCACACAGGAAAGGTAAGACCAGATCATGGAACACCTCCAATGGCAGGTAAGTAAGGGATTTGGAATTTAAGACATGCTTATAAAATACAAGATTTCCACAGAACTGCTCTCTCAGATTATTTTGTTGCACTACTGTGTAGGTAATGGGGATCTCTAATTTATCTCTCATCTAATTTCTCTTCTCACCAAACCCTAATTGTAGTCCACTTGAGTTTTTTTAGTCTGTTGATACACTGGATTACATTGCTATAGACTGATTGAATTGTATCCCCCAAAGTTCACATATTAGAAACTTAATTTCCACTGTAACTGTTGAGGGTGAGAAATCCT